CTGATCAATTCCCTAGCTACACCACGTGGCTATGCAACCCTCTCGCAACCAGAGCAAGTTACACACTACAGTTTACAAGTCCAAGTAGTAAAAAGAGGAAGAGGTCATGGAATTGACCATTCACAGTAATATGTTCAAAGTTCCAACTCCATAGAACTCAAAGTTTCAGTCTTCAATCTTACATGCCCTTTGAGGTTGAGTGTTAATCCAAATTCCAAAACCAAATAAACATTCTTTCTAAAAAATCCCTAACTGTATATGAATTAGTCAATGATATGGAACAATTTCCAACCATTTACCTATTCACAAGAATCACAACAGTAATATTACACCATTTACCTAACCAAATTTAAGAAGGAAAATTCTGAGAAATTACTTATCATATTTCAAATGAACTTAACCCCTATAAAGTTTTAAGTTAATAATATTCGATATTGATTAATCTCACATACATGAAAATCACCCCCCAAAAAAACTTGTAATAATATTGAAAGATGCAAGCTTTATGAATTTCTGCATAATTACACACAAACCCAATAAAAGGGAACAAATAATTATCATGTGAAAAAGCCATGAAAAGCTAATAATCGAGTAATAAAGTTAAACCTCATGATCTTCATCAATAATTGCGAACTATAATTCATTTAAACACGATCAAATATACTTTTAAAAAAAATTAAAATAAATGAACAAGAATATATGAAAGGGTAAAAAAAGGTATAATACCTTCCTCAGCTAATCAGGTTGCAACAAGCTCTCCAAACTTGTGTAAAAAATCCAGGAAAATGGGAAAGAATCAAAGAAGGAAGAAGAGAAATGATATCCCCTTTTGTCTTTCTTCTTCTTCTGTCTTAAAAAGAGCAGAGATAACTCTACTACTATATCTGGGTCCCACCTCCGAAATTTCGCCTTTTTATATTTCTTGTGGTAATTTTGTCTTTTTGACACCTTATCTATTTCTATTCGTTCGATTGTTGTGATGATAATAGAATCCAAAATTTTTAAGATTATATTACTCCACTGTACAATGTGACAGTAATCATTTGAGTTTTTTTTTTCTTAACAAACTATGTGGATAATTCTACTAAATTATCTTAAAACAATAGTTTAGTGAATTAATAGAGCTAGTACTCAATATTGGTACGACTTTAAGTGATCAAATGATAATGCCACTTTCTTCATTGTATTAGAATATTATTCTATTAGACGTATTAGTCAAATGTTCATGTGAGTTCTTTAATAATTTTAATAAATAATAAAGATTCTTGTGAGATATCTTATCTATTACTCTTCAATCTAAAGATAAATAATTAATATTAATGCCAATAATGATATTATGGAGTACTCTTAATGAAAATACTACTCTTATTTCCCCGTATTTTTACTCTATTTAAGCACATTTTTATCTTTGATGAATGATATGCATTTACAAAAATATAAATATTTAAAAATTATGTTCAAATTTATAAAATATTAGGGTTCGTTTGGCGTCGTTGTGTTTTTTTTTTTTTCAAAACCATATGATATGAATCAAAAATTAGTCAAAATTATTAAAATCGTGATAATTTTGAAACTAACAACAAAAAGTGAAAATATCTTTTTCTTGTTTCCTTTTTTGGTTTTTTGTTATAAATAAATAAATAAAAGAGAAAGAGAAAATTGAAAACAAAAAACGATTTCAAATAAACCCTTAGTTGATAATGTTTGCTTTTAAACTCCATTTTACTCCGTATTAATTATTATATACTCTATTGTTTATCAGTTGATTTTTCTTTAACACATTTTTAGTTCATATATTAGAAAAATAAATCAACTAAGCCTTATAAAAAATAAGAAATAAATATAGCAGTTGCTATAAAACTATACATTGAGACAAATCCAAAATGAATATTTTTTTTCTTTTTATATTATTATGAAATACTTTTCAAAATTAAAGTTATTTTTATTCTAAAATTGAATATTTAAAATAAACAAACTAAAAGGAAAATGAGTACTATCCACATAGAAATTGAAACAACAAATAATAGGAGTAGTAACAAAACTAAGGAAGATAATCCATGAGATTCACGAGGGACAGTGTCAACGGGTCCCATTAATAACGAACGAATTTACGAACCAGAGGAAACTACGTGGAACTTTCTTTATTCCTACTTTCTAGTTTTGCTTTGCCTTTCTTAATTTGCTCTTTTTATTTTTTGGTGGGTTATTCATAATTCAATAGAAAAGATTGCAAGATATTTTGTCCCATAAAAGTGTTTTTTTTATTTAGTTAAGCAAAAATAATGTGAAGTAAACATAGGCTAAATAAATAATTTTTTTTTTTTTTTTTTTTTTTGTAATTAACTAATAAGGTCTTGTTCACTTCACTTTTAAAAATTATGTAAAAATAATTTTAGTTCAGTAAAAACTAGTTTAGTTCTCGTGTGATGCACGGTTTTAAACAAAATACATTGTAAAAAAATTTATAATATGGAGAAAGAAAGTTTTCAATCTGTAATTTTTTTTGTATACATGGTAGGTTATTTCTTCTGTAAGCATATTACTTATAAAATATACAAAAAATAATAATAAAAAAAAATAAAAAAAAATTCATAATGAACACTTTGAACATTAAAATATTAATATACCTGTAAAAAAAAGGACTCGGTAGGGACAAAGGATAAAGTATATGAAAGGTTTAATATATAAAAAAAACAAAGGTAAAAAAAAAATTATATATATAATGATATCATCATAGCAAATTGGCGGGAAAAAAATTTATATCAGAGTGACATATGTACAATTTGAAGAAGGGATGATGCCACCAACGTTTTGTTTTAGTATTAGTTAATAGATAAGTATAGTTTAGTAAAAATCAGTAACTTTAAAAAAGAAATATAATAGAAAATCAACAAAAATAATTTCAGTTCAGTAATATTGATTTCAGTTCAATATTAAATAATTTAAGTTCAATAAAAATAATTTTTTTTCAGTAAAAATAATTCCAGTTCAACAAATATAAGGTGAAGTGAAATCACAAAAATTTAGAAAAAACCCTAACAGTTTTCTCTCTTCAAATCTAGCCACCATAGTTAAACTTAGGAGCTGCCATCGATTTTTATCGATGGTAAGCCCCAAATTCTTCTTTAATTTAATGTTCTTAGCCAATAAAGATCACCAACAGTATGGTGATTATAATCAGTCCCTCTATGTAGGGTTTAGTCAGTTCCCTAATGGTGGGATGTTTAGTATTGTTTGTTTGTATGTTTTTCGTGTGTGCAGGGATACAAATTTGAATGATTCGTCTTGCAAATTTGTGGAAATGCCGGTCTGTTGGCATAGGGGTGCAAATTTAAAAGATTCGTCTTGCAAATTTACAGATCTTGAAGACCAATCAAGTTTTTTCACTTTTACGACTATAAATCAATGGAGCTCCGTCAAGAACGATGCAAAGACATCTAAAATTATCCAGGAGCAGTTCAAAAGCGATGCCATTAATTTAGGGGTGTTTAATTCTTGTATTGAGAATTTAGATCTCATAAGGGATGATTGTAAGTGCCAAATGGCTATTAGTATTTAATGAAATCACCCCTCCCTATTCCATTAAAAAAATATATATATATATAAGGTGAAGTGAAAAGGGACCTAACTCTACCTCTAAACCTGTGTCATTGTTCTTAAATTTTTATTACAGTACTACACAATATCACTTTATAATAAGGTATTTAAGAAGGGATTGCACTACTATGTATTGACATAAACATTTTTTTCTTCTCAAATTTTTAAGTCTGCAAAAATAAGGTGAAAAAAACCAAGTGCTATTTATAAAATCATTACTCTCCTTTGTCTGAGAATTATTGACATAGTCAAACTTAACACACTTACCAAATGCACTAGTTTAGCCTAAGATATATAATTTAATATCAATGAAAAATATAAAAATGTCAAACGTGTCAATTATTCTAGGAGGGAGTGAAGGAATATTACTTTTTCGTAAAAAAAAAAAAATCAACAATCTATATCTATATTTCTATATATTAAAAAACGTTTCTAAAAATGTCAATGTGTCACGTGTATCTCATTCTTGCACACTAGGATAATGCCACATCGTCATTCAATATGTCATGTGTACCCTTAGCATAACGCCACATCGTCATCATATCTTTGTTTCATGTCATGGTTAACTAAAAATGTATATAAAGAGATTTGAACACTAGACCTCACTTATTGTAATCTAAGCTAGAAACTTCAATTTATGCACATAAATATATAAATACAAATTAGAGATAAAAGCAAAAACTATTCAAAACTATTTTGCTGTCATTGTATTATTATTATTTACTGACAATAAGAGAAAAACAATTCTTTCAAGCTCTTTAACAATAATAATACAGTAATAAAATACTGAAAATAACACCCGGAGCAACGCCCATGTCATACACTAGTTTTTCTTAAATGTGACCTCCACCTATATTAATTTATTTACTAGTACAAAAATACTCTACTAAGGCTCCATTTTCTTCACCTTATTTTTGCTGAATTGAAATTATTTTTACCGAGCTGAAATTATTTTTGCTGAACTTAAATTATTTTTTACTGAACTGAAATCAATTTTACCGAATTGAAATTATTTTTGCTGAACTGAAATTAATTTTACTGATTCTCTTTTATATTTCTTCTTTAAAGTTACTGATTTTTACTGAACTGAAATTATTTTTGCTGATCTGAATTTATTTTTACTGAATATTATTATTTTAAGCTAAAATGAATAGGGTCAAAATGAAATATTTTGTTAGTTTATTTACAATTTGACACTAGATAAATGATTTTTGTTTATGGACTTTTTTTCGTAAATAAATTATTTTTTTTGTTTATCATAACTGGCTGCTGGCTCCTCGTACGTTCTTGGCTGCTTCCCATTAAATTTCCACTCTCCACACTCTCTGTCCAGTTCTACACTGCAACAGTTTTTGGAGGTAGAGCTTCTTCTAATTTCAATTTTTGTTGAGATCATGTCTTTTCTTCTTTATCCTATTAATCAAATTGTTCTTTTTAAGTAAATGCTCTTCATATTTCCTTTTCTACGACTTGCAATTACAGTGGGCATACTCTTTGATTGAGAATCTGATAAATTATTGTACTAAGTATAGCATAAAATTGAATTTTGATTTACTGATTATTTGAGTTTTGAATGAACAATTTTGATTTTAGGATGAAGGAAATGAATCTAGCATTGGTAATGAAGTTGTTAACTATGTGGACTCTGTATTATTGAAAGGTGGGGATTTGTAGGATGCACGACAGGTGTTCGATGAAATTCCCCAGTGAAAACTGAAATTTGGTAATATGAATAGAGTGGCAATTACTTCTGTTAATTTCAATAAAGTCGTATAATTAAGGCAATATTAGGTTACAAAACATAGATTTTAGTAGGAAATTCATGTAGTCGACCTCAATTAGTGGTTGGTGATTAGATAAGTATGATGTTTGATTGTTTTAGTTTTAGCAATCTTAAAGTGTACATTTTTTGATGGGGAAATGTATTATGTACCAGGAACCTCAAAAGACAAAATTTTGAGGTGAACAAATCAATTGACGAGTAGGGATTGAAAGAATTGATTATTGATGGCGTTGAGACGAGCACTTGGTTGGTCTGATGGTGAGCTGATGCGTTCAGATGCAAAGCCATGTTCAAGGTTAATGAGACAGACAGCTGGTATTTTTACAGTTGGTGGAGCATTAGGTTTCTGGGTTTTGTGTAGACTACACTATGGTACGTTTGTTTTCCGTTCAACTGTCTTGTTAAGCTTCCTTTAAGTCTTAAGTATAAGTTGTATAACTACCGCGTACGTCATATATGCTTATTGATTTGCGGAATAGGACATGCCCTTTTGAACTTGTTTATCATTTTTCTGTCATGCCCCAATTTAGAATGTCAAGGAATAATCGCTGGCTCAAATTGCGTGTATTGCATTCTGTTGAATCTGATAGCATTGCATCACTGATATACAAAGAGATACTAGGAAAATCTGCATTACATCAAATATATACGAAGAGAAACTACTATGACAATGACTAACTTGTAACAAACTGTACATATCAGCAAACAAATACCTTTTAGACAACTGAGACTAAGCTAGCTAAGTAGTATAATGTCAGCCATATACAATCTTGTTACCATCCCCTCGAGCTACGATTGGGGAGGTGATGATACAAGATCTAGCTTGAAAGACAGAAATTGATGTTGGTCAGCTCCCAAGGATTTGGTCATGAAGTCGGCTAGTTGCAGTGTAGAATTCACAAGGAGTGTTGATAGACTTGGATGCCGTCTCTATCTTAGTGTCAGTCAACCTTGACATGCTTGTTCATTTATAAGATATGTAGTTGTCAGCAATGTGAATTGTTATAGAACAAATCAATAGGTATAGGAAGTTCAATCTACAAAATTATGCGTTAAGCCTTCAAGCCAAGCAACCTCACTAAATGTCTGACTGTGTTTATGTGAAAACTCTTGGAGACATTGTTTTGCCTCTTGGTTTTAAAAAAAATCAATAACCAGTGACTAGTGGCCGTAGTGGGCGACCTTTCAGAAAGGAACAAATGCCCCCAGTCAGATCACTATTCTCTGAAATCTGAACTCAGAATGAATAGGGCAACACAAGCCAAGATTATGTGATCCTTAAAGGTATCTTTAGGCAAGTTCATAATTTTAAAACAAATGATATTGTCTTTAGGTTGAGGAAATATGGCTATTTGATTATTACTTTATTACTCTTGTAAGATAAAGCAATGTTGTCCTGATGTTTAGCACAATCCTGTATTGTCTTTTTTGTACCTAAGCAAATTCCCAGAAATTTCCTATGACCTGTTTGTTTCTTTCTGTTCATTCATTTGGTTTATTCATGGCTGTCAGGACCAAGAGTTACGATTCCTAGAAGTCTCAGATGGGCAGCCTGTGGATCTGTTTCTGTTAGCTCAAGCACAGCTCTTATGGTCCGCCTTTTCAGTCCTGAATGCGAACCCCAGAACATAGTAGCTTATGATAACAAAAAGTGACAACTAAACCGACAATTTCACTTCATTTCCAAGTTCATAGGGACTTCTGATCTTGCTGATATGGCTCAAGAGTTGACGATATGATAAATCATCAAAATGTTGTAGATGCTATGAGTCAATGAATTTCAACATTTGTTTTTGTTATGGGGTTGGAATTCAGTTACTAGTAATTGAAATTGGAACTCGATTTATTGCTTGTGAATTCACAATTGTCTATACTCTTTCTGACTCTGAAGAGGTGTAAATGAGTAAATCTGATTGAAAGTCCTATGCGGTAGTCCTAGAATGGTCATCGACGAGAGCTATTGGGTTACTCAAGAGGAGGCATATATCTGGCAAAGGACACTTGATAAAGCAAGGGAAAAAGAGCAGACAATGGCCATATCATAGAGATTAAAAGGAAAAAAGGGATAGATTAGATAGCTAAAATCCAAAATGACACGGCATGAGATTATATTATAAACATGCACTCAGGTCTCAGCACTCGTGTCGTGAAACCCAAATCCAATATGCAAAAGACGCTCCCATTCAAAATGAAATAAAGAGGGAGTCGTTAAAGCATTGTGCACCACGTTTGGAAGTAATAAGAGGTAGTATTTCATAGTAGCTAGGACATGATTTGCTCTCGTAACCTTATTTACGATGTTATTTTATCCTAGTGTTTAAGGTACACATACTTGAGATTATACAGTCTATTAACACTTTAACAGTTGGATATGCAATATAACTGTTTATAAAGGAGTACAACTAGCTCTTCATTGTGGCATTTAAAACATTAAATTGAAGGTGATAATTTGCTAGTCATTAACGCTATAAAAGGTATTTGGATAGTCCCTTGGCAGATCGAGCATGTTACCAAAGGCACTCATTCTCTTCTCACTCAGTTTCAAAGTTGGAGTATCCAACATATCTATCGAGAGATAAATCGCGCAGCGGATTAGATTGCTAATGTGGGTCATTTAGAGTCTGATAATATGATGATGTTTGTAATAAATCTAGTCTGTTTTCCATTCTTTTGACTGATACATAAGGAATACCCCTCGTAAGGAGGCCTTCCTAATACTCTGTATTTTGTAATTTTGTTTGAAAAAAATTGAAAAGGATCTCGATAATCGGAGGGAGCCCCACTTTAACTTGATGATAAGCAAAAAGCGTTTAGTTAGTGACATTTATGTAAATAAATCAACAAAATATACAAGTCAGTATGTCATTTTCGTAAATAAATCAACATTTATGGGACCCACATTTAATAAAAGTTGTTAACTTATTTACAGAAATGTCACTAGATAAAAAAAATTTGTTCAATGTATACATCCGATGTACATTAATATTACTGTACATTGGGGTAACTTTTGTTGAATTTAGGGTAATTTTTACACTTTTTTGGGTAACTTTTATCAATGAAGCATAAATAACTTTTATTTATATCAGGATAACTTATATATATTGGGTAATTTTCATTCATTAAAGGGTAACTTTTGATCATTTTAAGATAACTTTGTAACGGATGTAAAATATTTTATTGTACATCCGTTTTTTTATAAATATTTGTTTTTTTATTTTATTTTTATTTTTTTATCACAAAAATAAACCTCTATTTTCTCCGCGTCCGGATCGGGATCCAAACTTCGATCCTAATTCCCAAACCCATAAACCCAAACTCAAATCCATTCTCTCTCCTCTGATCCTCTCCCCGGCGGCCACTCTCTCCCGTCTGACGTGTCCACCTTCTCCATAATCTTATCATCTCCCATTTTCTCTCTCCTCCCATCTCTTTCATGGCTTCCACTCTCACTCTCTCTCTTCCCTAATCTCCCCCATTTTCTCTCTCTCCCCTTCTTCCATGGCTTCCAACTCTTCCGAAAATGGCTCCCACCCCAAAAAACCCAAGCTCAATCATCAACAAATCAACGAACAAACCCTAATTTCCCCCTCCGAAATCGCCGCCGAATTCTCCCACCATGACCCCACCATTGCTCGCATCAACAATGGCAGTTTTGGGTGTTGCCCTTCCGCCGTCATCGCCGCCCAACGCCGCTGGCAGCTCCTCTTCCTCCGACAACCCGATTTGTTCTACTTCTCTCTCCTTCGACCTGGGATCGATTCTTCTCGTCGTCTTCTTCTTCCATTAATCAACGCTTCTCGTCTCGATGAAATCTCCCTCGTTGATAACGCCACCACTGCTACCGCCGTTGTTCTTCAGTACGTCTCGCGCGCTTTCTCTGAACGACGGTTTTCTCCCGGTGATGCTGCTGTTATGCTTCATTATGCTTATGGGTCAGTGAAGAAATCCGTGCATGCGTATGTCACACGCGCCGGTGGGCATGTCATTGAGGTACCTCTTCCTTTTCCGGTTTTCGATAGCGGTGAGATTGTTAGGGAGTTTAGGAATGCGTTGAATTTGGCTAAGTTGGAGAATCGTAGGGTTAGATTGGCTGTTATTGATCATATTACTTCTATGCCTTGTGTTGTTTTGCCTGTTAAAGAATTAGTAAAGATTTGTAGGGAAGAAAGTGTTGATCAGGTTTTTGTTGATGGGGCTCATGCAATTGGGTGTTTAAAGATTGATATGGAAGAAATTGGGGCTGATTTTTATACTAGTAATTTGCATAAATGGTTCTTTTGCCCGCCTTCCGTTGCGTTTTTGTATTGCAGGAAGAAGGAGAGGAAGGAACAGGAAGAAGGGGTGGAGTATGATGATGTGCATCATCCTGTTGTTTCGCACGAGTATGGGAACGGGTTGCCCGTGGAGAGTGCGTGGATTGGGACCCGGGATTATAGCTCCCAGCTTGTTGTGCCGGAGGTTTTGGAGTTTGTTAGTCGGTTTGAGGGTGGGATTGAAGGGATTATGAAGAGGAATCATGATAAGGTTATTGAGATAGGGGAGATGTTGGCGAAAGCTTGGGGGACTCAGTTGGGGTGCTCCCCTGAAATGTGCGCGAGTATGGTTATGGTGGGGTTGCCTACTTGTTTGGGGATTCAGAGTGATGACAATGTTATGAAGTTGAGGACTCATTTTAGGGAGAAGTTTGGCGTTGAGGTTCCGATTTATTTTAGGCCACCTAAGGATGGTGAGATTGGATGTGTGACTGGGTATGCTCGGATTTCTCATCAAATTTATAATACAGTTGATGATTACTATAAGTTCAGGGATGCGGTCAATCAACTGGTGCAAGATGGATTTACTTGCGCTGAACTCTATGGCTAGACAAGGTGTGTTTCTACTCTTTTCTTGAGCTTCTTATAAACTGTGTATTTGTCAATTATTTTGTGCACTTTATGGATACTTGCTATTGTTTGTGCCATTAGTATCAGACGTACAATACCTTTTATCATGGGAAATGAAGGCATCATTGTTTGGCTGTGTACTGTGTAGCCGATGTAGGTAATGTAGGTAATGTTCATAAAAGTGAATGCCATGTGCTGTGTGCGATGCTCAATAGAATAGGTTCTGTGCTTTTGTTTTGTCTGTTATGAAGATGTTAGTTGATTTGGTGCTCCCCCCGCCCCCCTCCCTCTCTCTCTCCCCTTTACTCTGTTGTTTTGGAGCAAATTTCAAACTTTCACTGGTCTATATTCTAACTTATACTCAAGTCCGAAGGTATCATGCCAGATTAGACTATGTGAATAGTCAGACCCTAGATGGTTGCCAATCTTGCCATGATTTCATACTATAAGCATTACTTGAGTGCCTCTAACAATGCTTTCATAGTTTCACCCGTGGAGTTGGAGGTGGCTATGGGGATCATATAATGCATCATGCAGTCATGCACCAAAAAAGTATGTAAAAACTGTTGATTGGAATTGAGACATGTGGACACTGGTTCTTCCACTGTAGTTTAAAGAAGACAAGTTTTGATTTTTGAATATAGTATGTTGCTTTTGCTCATCAATTATATTCAATTTTATGTAACTGATATATACAAAAATATACTTGCGTGTTAAAAGAGGCTTACTAGCAATCTATCCATTTCTTTCTTCTTAGCATGTTATTGGAAATTAGATTCTACCTGGCTGGTCTTGTTGAGATGTAGAAATGCTAATAGCAATTGGTGTCTGTTATTCAACATAATTTATGAAGAGAATGTAGGGTGTTTCTCTAAAAGAGCATAAGGGGCTATTTTGGTTCAACTTTAAGGAGTGATACCCCCCCCCTCCCTCTCTTCCGCTTCCCATTTCTCAGAGTGATTGGTAAGAGGGGAAAAGGGTTGCCCTCATACTATCTCCCGTGGCCTGCCTTCTCAGTTCTCAAAGACTCAAACCATGACTTCCACTGTACCAAATTCTGCTGTAGTGTATGTGTATTGCAACAGCACTGCCACCTCCCAACCTTGTTTTGAATCCGCCACAAGAACTTTGAAGACAAGCTTTTGCTGTCAAATTTGATCATAAAAACTCCTAATTTGGAGCTTTCATGGTTAAATTTGTATTCCCTTCCGCAAACCCTCTTTTAATTGCATAAATGTGGAATCACGGTATTGGTTGTGGGAAGTGCTGAAGTGGTGAAATGTGATTTTGGTAGGTGATTGCGGGCTGGTAGGTGGTTTCGAGCTTGGACAGTTTTGGTAGATGTTTGTGGTTGTATTTTGGTAGGTGGCCGTCTGACTGTGGTAAGTGCGTACTTGGTGGTGGTTGTGGGATAACATTGGGATTTTAAATTTGATGGTTTGAGATTGTATAGGCTGGTGGAGGCTGTTGTTGACTAGGCTGAGGTTTTTAGGACAGTGGTCAAGGGGTGGCTAATTTAAGCCATGACAGGACTTTAGGGATTTTGAAAACCCGAGGGGGGAGGGGGGTATGAAGGGATTTGGGGAAAGTCTTAAAATCGAATATGGGAATATCTGGGAAAAGGAAATCCTTTTTTTTTTTTGTAATTTTTTTTTTACCAAACTCCATCGAAGGGAAATATATATTTTGTTTTCTACTTTTCTTTCCCTTTTTGGGAACCCCCGTTGCAATCGTCCTTTATTGCTGGCAACAATGAGCAAGAGAGTGATTTTATATCAAAATTTGAGCTGCAAATGTGGGACATAACTTTGTGGTTATTGTCCAGTACGTTTGCTGAGAGATAGACATACGATAAGCTCCAACTTAACTGACGAGTTCTTCAGGTAAATGATCAAATAGATTTCATACAACAGTTGACAGTAAAAATTGCATAACACTGGTTAGGCATGTACACCTAATTGAGCATTAGTGGGGCATAGTGGCAATGTCTGATTCTAAGTAGAAACCAAAGCATGTAAATTGCTTCATTGTCCTGCTGGTTGCTGCTATCTGAGAATTTTTTGTTTGCTGTATGTTTCAGTAGCTGGCTCTAGTAATGTAGGGAATTTTCATGTACTAATCTTCCCTTTGAGTCTCTGAATAATTGCTCCCAGATAAGTGTTATTGAAAGTCTTTAACACATTTCTATTCTGATTGCTTAATTGGACTGGAAGAACATCTTGGATATGCTCTGGTTTGATTTCTGTAAATAGTGTTCTTATATGTAAATTTTGGGATAGTTTTACCCTCTTTCACATTTTAATATATATATATATATATATTGTTCAAATACTTTGCCTTTATGCTCTCTGGTGAATCAATTTGGAGTTCCAACATTACCACATGTAACCTGGGTGATTTCTGTTTTTTTGTGTAGGTGAGTGGTGAATATACATAAGCTTTCTTGAGTAATTTGTATTTTCCCCATGCGAAAATTTTCATTCTGCTCTCTAATCAGGACAAGGCTCGAGGTACTGAACTAGCGATGAATCCAATTGTATAGCGCTTTCAAGAGACAGATTAGTTAGCCCTGTTGAAGCCTTGAATGGTGCTCCTTGGCCCTGTTGAAGCGTGTAATGGTGCTCCTTGGCCCTTGGATGCTGGGATGGCCTGAGTGACTCATGTGGAGCTTGTGCTGAGTTGTGTAAATTAGCTGCTTTTTAGGACATTTTATTTGCATTTTTTTGTCTACTAGTTTATTCTAGAGTAGACCAGTTCCTTAGGTCTGGCTTAATAATAAATTAATTTTCAGGTTAACTGTTGTAAGAATTTTGCATTTGTTACAAATTTCAGCTAATGTTAGTGAAGAAATAACGATCAGCCTCTTTTTAGTTATTCTTGTTGCCATGATTGAGTTACTGGAGCAAAAATTGGGGGGGTGATAAAGCAGAATGTTGATTATTATCACTGGAAGTCCTATTGATCCTCAGAGGTAAAATACACCAGGAAGAGCTGCCACTCGCTCCATTTTTCACTTAACGATGTGGCTAATCAAATTGCAAGGATACAAGTATAATGTTGTGTGGTAAAGGCCAAATTTCTGAACCATAACTTTCAGTCTTAAAACTTTTCCCACCATGAAATTCCAATCATTTAACATAGTATCTCGTATTAGTCGTATTACTAGTATATCTCTGGTCACTCCTTTCCTCTAGAGCCCGAGCCTGTTTATCATTGGTGCCTTATTCAGTATCCACCGTGCCGTAACCACTACCACCATTCCTACTAACTAGAAAATTTTGTTAAAAAAAATATTACTGTATACTTCATCTTACATACTTCGTAAATATCTAATACCATTTCGTTTCGTGGTATGATGAATAACCTTTTTGATAAGATGGACCTTACCGAAATCCCCCAACTTTCAAGCAAATATAGTTGGTAGAGCTTGAACCTGTGACCTTTAAGTGAGTTCCCACCAACTCCACCAAACATTCCGTTTTCCGTTCCATCGATATGAGTAATTGTACGGTTGTACCCATATTCGTATTCGTATTCGTATTCGTATCCATATCCATTTAAGAACTACTCCGTATTCAACTATTTCGTATATAGTGCATCCTCGGTATACATGTCATCTTTTATGAAGCGTTGTGGCTTTTGCAAAAATAGAACCAGTTCCTCAGTTTCCCTTCACAGAGTCTCATCGCTTAGAAGCTTAAACCATCCCTACCATTACTACCACCTAAAAGTTGCTCAACAGTTTCTTCAAAGGTTCTCTCTTCTTTCGCTCTCTTCCCCTTTTAATACGATATCTGATTGTTGTTTGTGTGATTGGATTTTTTATTATTGTTGGAGTGAATTTCTGTATATTACCTGTTTTTGGCAGAGTATTATGTCAGTTTGATATTTCATAGGTATCTTTAATTATGTTATACAGAATATACACTATCAATTTCAGAAAATTCCCAAAAATCTTATTATGAAAATTATGGATTTGGGTGAGAAATTATGTTCATGTTGTGTTAAATAATGAGATTATCGTGGTGCTGTAAATGCGCAATTACTAGGGTTTGTAAATACATTCAATTTATCAAAGGCATGTTTACGTGTGGAGAATTGTTGAGCAATTTGAGGGAAGAAGAAAGACTGTGGCCCAAAACCCTGATGTTTTATCAGTTATGGACTTAATCTATGAGTTATATTATTGGATTTTGAATTCAATACACACGAGACAATTTTGAATTTTGTTGGGAATAGCCACTCATTTGCTGTTTTGTTTAGGAGGTGCTGTTTCTTGAATGGTAAATGGGAAGCTGAGCACGGTGGGTTGAGGCGGATATTACTCGAAACAGGTTGTTGTTGGTTTGCATTAGCTCAAGCAGTAAAAGTATGGATAATAGTAGAATAGTGTTCCGAAATCTTTAGAATTTGCCTCTTGAGTTGTTGGTTTATAACAGCTGTCCTGACTCCTGAATCCTGGTCCAATGCTGGACTACTGAATTTTTGCAGGCATTGTGGCATTTGATTGATTACAATTGAATTTCTTGTAAAACCCAACTAGATATTGGATCTAGCTTCCTAGGAAAGATGTCTATCTGTCCCACTAACATCTTTCCTCGAGATTGTCTTTCTTCTGGTGCTTCAAAAAACGTCCTACAGATACATCCACAATATTTGTGTCGCCCCACTAAATTGTATGTTGTTCGTCATGGCATCCAACATTTCCAGCATTGTGTTGCTGCAGTGGGAAAGTCTGATTCTGTATCCAACTCTGAGGCAGATTCTGACCCCAACTCCAAGCCTAAGAGAAAAGGTCGATTGAAGAAAACCAGAGATGCTGAAGCTGAGCCTGGCACCAATTCAAAACCATCACCAATAATCCCAAGGAAGCCAAGGCGTGGTCGTAGGAGTGAAGCAGTTGCTGTCGAGGATTTTATACGTGATTCGCTTGAAAAAACATTTGCTTCAATCCAGGAGCAAAATCCTGAAGTTTTTGTGAATAAAGAGCAAATTCTTAAAGAAAGTAATGACAAGACTCTCTCTGATGATAGTAGTGAAGAAGATAATGATGATGACAATGGTCAGATAGAGGAGCAAATGGTTGTTGACGATGATGATCCTACTTGGCCAGTTGATGCTGAAGTGGGATGGGGCACTAGAGCATCAAACTATTTTGAAAAGTATCCAATCAGAAACATTGTTGGAGATGATGGTACTGAAATTGATTGGGAAGGTGAAATTGATAATAACTGGGTTCAGGAAATCAATTGCCTTGAGTGGGAGAGTTTTGCATTTCACCCAAGTCCGTTGATTGTTCTTGTTTTTGAAAGATACAACAGGTATTTTTTTTTTGAATTTTTCACTACAATTACAAAGAAAATTACTTGAACCTGCACTTTCCTATCTTTAATCATGTAATGACTAAGTTATATGATTGCTTAAAAAAGATACGAGTTGATAAATGATTGCATGCTTAAAAAAAACTTTTGCTTAAGCCTTAGATGCAATAATTTATGTTGATTTGTTTAGTCTTTAAGTTTGTAAAATTTAGAGAGCTAATTGAAGGTTCAAATTTGACTCTTTTAGTGAAGCATTGTGTGAATATTCACCCTTTTTGTTAACACAGGGCAACTGATAACTGGAAAATTCTCAAAGAGTTGGAGATGGCACTCAAGGTTTATTGGAATGCTAAAGATCGACTTCCTCCTCGTGTATGCTCTCATTACTTGAAATTCCTCTTTTTCTGAATAATAGAAATGATCATTAATCATTAGTATCAGAGATATAACACCAAATGCAATTATCACATAAATCCATCCTTATAATTTTAAATTCCTTTCTAATCTGTGTTCAATGCCTTTAAACAATCTCCATTAGCCATTTGTTTTGCAGATTTTATATCCTTACTCAAGCAAAATTTTGAATTTTCCTATATTCCATGTTCCCTCCTACTTAGGAAGTCAATTAGTAGATCTTTGGGACACGGCGGGGGGGGGGGGGGGGGGGGGGGAATTCCGAAAATTGTGGATAAATGTAGTTATGTTAAACCTAATGGTTCACTGACTGAAACTGTTAAATCTGTTAGATTGGAACTTACGAGGTGGTTTCACATTATATATTACTCCAACGGGTGGTTTTCTTTTTTTATAAATGGTCTTGTTTAGGATATTCTTCTTCTAGCGAATCTGTTGAATGATACTTCATATTTGATTTTTTATGACCCTCTATCAAGTTAGAGAGGTTGTATGTGACCGAGTCAACTTTCAATGGACAACATATCTAGCCTTCAACGGGTGTTATCCAAATTTCTTAGGGCTCTAAAAGGTCACAGATTCCAGCTTCCTAGAAAGTGGTTACCTGCAATACTTTCTTAGCCATGAGTTTAGGAAGTATTGTTAGTATCAAATTGTATTGAAGCTGCATGGCAATATAATCCTCCTGAATCTGAGAGAAATCTGATCTGGCACCTACTTATCAAATAAGTCAACCAAGATAGTTTTCTTTTGTTCATAATTTATAGACCCTAATGTCAATTTTGTGTGATCAAATCTTAGCTACATGATCATCAATTTCTTGTAACAGGCAGTTAAGCTGGATATCAATATTGAGAGAGACTTAGCATATGCTCTTAAAGTTAGACAGTGCCCACAAATACTATTTCTACGTGGACAAAAAATTTTGTACAGGGAAAGCGGTAAGAGCTGTAGCTTCTTTCCTTCTTTCCGTAGTTTATGTGGACATGCTAAGTTTGATTTGTTGTTGTTGCAAACTTGGAATGTGACTGTTTCAACTCTTGGTAGCAGAGCTGAGAACTTCAGATGAATTGGTACAAATGATTGCGTATTTCTATTACAAAGCCAAAAAGCCTTCATGGATTGATGAAGCAGCTCTAGCTTTGTAGTGTCAGAGCAGGTGCATCATCTCTATCTCACTAATCCTTGATCCAACGCTGATTTATCAGTCTATTAATCACATATCTTTAACGTTTTTTCCCCCTCTGTTAACGCAGGCATGAAACATCATAAGGAGGTTTATACTACAGTTGCAGCATTACATCATGTATGTTAAGATTGTCTAATTTGAGTGCAACTAATTTGCTGTATATAATGCCTACATATCTAATAATACTTCTACAGAAAAGCTTATTTAGACGCACTTGCATTAGTTAAGTTTGCTATGAGATCCATCATACACACTGATTTAATCAATGTTATGTTGTAAATTGCTAACATGCAGGGACATTCCACTTTGTATAAAGATCAATAGCTGTTAATAGACTGATAAATCAGTGTTAACTGGCCGCAGGCTGAAGTCTCCTTTAGGTATTGATTGCGTTAGTGCTTGTGGAGAACAATAATGAGATTGATTTAATATATTTTCAAGACTAGTAGAAGAGTGGGGCTATATGGGTAACTCTTAGCTACCTAACACTTGATAATAAAATGATAAAAATAGCTAATGCTGTCACCAGCTAGGTGTTTAGTCTGTTACTGAAATCATCATATGCTCTAAATGCTAAAACATCTTAAAGTTTGAATTGGTGTATTTTTAAGTTGGCTGACTTCCATTAGTCATTTAATCTTCTAACCTATTTTACAGGTATGGAGATCGAGTTGCGGGTAATCTTTTGCATTTTCGCGCAGGAATGGGGTAGATCCGCAGATGTAATATTGAAACAAGATTTAATTGCATGTCTGCCCTGTTCTTCAATTATATTTTTGTTGGATTTAGGACTTAGGAGTTAGGAGTAGAATCTTCAGACTTGTATTCTACTGTATAATTTTTGTTAACTAGGAATTCTTGTACCTTGTAAGTTGTATTTTGATACATTAAACAATGATGTTATATATATTGGAATGATGGTTAAATTCTCGTCTTTCATTACAAAGTTCTCGTCTCAATTTCCCTAAAAAAAAAAAAAAAAATTCTCGTCTCAATTTACTTGCTATATAGTCATTTGCTCAATATCTTATGCAAATGAAAAAAGTAGTGATAAAGAATTGGGTTGATGAGTTTGGGGACCCAACAAAAATTTCTTAAGTAAAATTAAACACTTCAAATTTAATTAGGATGGAATTTTCATTTCCAACAACCGTTAAGATTGGGTCGCCTAAAATTAGGTTAATTTATAATTAATTTTAGGTAACTTTTAACCGATTTAGGGTAACTATAATTTGTTATGATTTTTATTGTAAACAAGAAAATCGAAAGTGAGACATAATGACATATTATAGATTATGAATGATTGATAATTATTTGTAATATGAGTCCTAATTTTTGTAATATGAGTATCTTTATTTTTGCGCTATGGGCTAAAGTCAGTAAAATTTTTACTCTTGAAAAATTAAAAGAGAATACTTCGTTATAAAAATTACTCCGAAATAAAAAATAGTAGTCGTGACTCGTGAGATTAAAAATTTAATTTCCTACAATCAAAAGTAACACGAGACAAACTTAAAATTAGACGGACTAAATTAGAAGTCTTTTTCTCGTGTAAGCTGCATCCCCTCCGTTTCTCTTCCATTGAAGGCGGCTTGTGAGCTTTCTCTCCACCATTGAAGCAGCTTCTGAGGTAAGATAGTTTATTTTTAATCATCGAATATCAATTTCATGGGGTTTCGCTTATTCAATTGTCAGTACAATCAATTTAGGGTTATTGGTTGTTATATTTACTGCAAGAATTTAACATGATTTTTCGAGATAATCGAGCCAATTTAGCTTTTGTTCATTGTCAGAACGGAATTATGAAAATGGAATTACAATTAGAGGAGTACATTTAGATCTTGATAACCTGAATTTCTAATTTCATACAATTCAGCTGTATTATTTAGAAACCTTGACTAACTAGAAGGATAATAATTATAGTGATTAATTGATTATACATGGTGGATCTGCGTATTTTGATATGTTGGTGCAGTTGCCGCCTTGCCGGGATCGTGTCGGGTAAACTTCAATGTGTCACCAAAGCTCATGTCCATGTGTAACGGTGGAAGAGGATGTTGCTGCGGAGGAATGTCTTTTAGTATACTGTAAACCAGTTGAATTGTATAATATACTTCAACGCCGAGCTCATCAAAATGTAATGTTAGGAGAATTAATCAAAACTTATTACCAATTTTTCTTATTTAGCTTCATCGAGTTGTCTGCTATCTCTAACTTGATTGTTTTTCAATTTTGTGCAGCCTTCATTTCTTCCTAGGTGCTTGAACTACAAAATTGAGGCAAAATGGAAGACAGGGTATGATCTCCTATTGCTTTTTTTGTTATTTGAAATTATTTTAGTAAGAGTGAATTGAAATTATTTGGCCGGTTTGGAATCCGAGAAGGATGCCTTCACTAAGGGTTGAGGTGTGGATTGCTGGAATGAATGTTCGGATAGTTAGATCATCAAACATATCTAAGAGTGCTGTGACTATATTTGGCCAGTTTGGCATCCGAGAAGGATGCCTCCACTAAGGTTTGGGGTATGGATTGCTGGAAGGAAAGTGCAGATAATTAGATAGATACATGCATGGATGTCCAATTTAGAGGGGTTTTAAGTGTAAGAATGTGTAAAGAGAAAGGAAAGAGAGACAAGGAAAATAAAAACCCTAAGATGAAGGGGAAAAGGGAATTTAAACATGTAAATAGAGGAAGGACTAAAGAAAGACAGAAGAAAAAACTTTGGGAGGAAAGGGAGAAGGGGGAAACAGAAGGAAAATGTCTATCCCCCAGTTGGCTGTATGAATTTCTTTCAACTTTTTTTGCCTTTAACAATCATCATTCTGTGTGTGTGTCAAAAAAAAAAACAAAAATGATTGAGAAGAGATTATATTGCTTAGCTAAGGAAATACAATGAAAGATTTGATAAGACTTAGTAACTCTAAATCCTTCTCAACTGCTCAAAAAACTCTTTAGAGACCATTGCCAGAAAATAGAAATTTTGATGCAAACTAGAGAAACATAATATGTAAATTCAAGGTCATTCTTTTAGAATTCTATTTAAAAATCATCGGCTTTTTTATGTGTAGATTGATGGATGGAAATGTAATCTTCAACTACAGAGACCACAGCAACTTGCTTCGAAAGACCGAAGGTGTGCGTATATATTTAAAATATCTTGGTTATTACTCCTGTGTCTAATTTTTCTACTAATCAGGAATCTTTATTTGGTTCCTTGTTAATGTGCAGTTACAAGACAGTTTTCATGTCCTTTTTGTCTGATGAGATGTGGCAGCTTCAAGGTATGTATGAATCTGAAATTGTCTTTTATTTGGTGAAGTTGAACTGGGAAGTTGTTTTAGAAATTTGCTTTAAAATCCAACTCATTATGGTGTATAATGATATAAAAAACAAGTATTATGGCAGAGGAGCTGCTAGCTTGAAGCCTTGAATCCGCAATGACTTGTGCTTCCTACACTAGAGCTCAAGAGATTGAATTTCAACTCTCTCTTTGCTCCTTTCCTGGTCTGATATGATCTCAAATTGGTTTTGGGGTAGAGTCATTCTCTTTGCTTTCCTGAGATCCTATCTCTTTTCTTCATGTAGAACCATGCTCTTATCCTAATGAAAGCCCAAAAGGCCAAAATCTTGAGATTTTTATTTCTTCTTTCTAAACTGTGATAATGATCTGGTTGCCTAACTCAGGATGCATATATTATATTGTGAGACCTATGATCAAATTTTGCATATTGTAACATTAACTGATGGTACTTTTATTCCATGTTTTTTCTAAGTTATGGATAAAAAGGTAAAAGAAAGGACAGATTAGAGAAATTTAAGTAACATTGTAATAAGAAATTACTTCAGCCATGAGCCAAGAGGTTGACTGCAGTAGTGCGTTATAGTTAGCGGTTTATCCCCACCTGTAATCTTGATGGGAAACTACGCTTTGGTTTCTTGGAAAAAGAAATTTGTGCTGGTTGTTTTACTTTTAGTTAATTGATATAATTTGAATGTTTCTATTCTCTTTGTGATGGCGAAGTTTTCCTGAAAAGATCTTAGAACTATAAAATAAACCAGAGTTTCAGGTGTTTGACAGCATTTGCTAAATTTTATATAGTTCACATGTATTCATATGCCTACTTGTAATTCTCTTTCCCTTTTTTTTTCTCACAGTACGCTGTTTTCTAAAAGTTGTAAGCTACTGCTCTTACAAAAACTGCAACTTTGATCTTCTGTTTGCAGGGTCTCCGTTCTCATCTGATCACGTCACATGACCTTTTTAAATGCGAATTTTGGGTTAGTTACATGAATTGAATGCTATTGTATTAATTGAAAATTTGAATTTTAATGTCTGCTGGATGTATCACATTTCCTTTTTTAGGTGACCGAAGAGTATAGAGCCATTAATGTCTCCGTCAAAACTGATGCACTACATTCAGAGGTCAGAATATTCTTCTTATTGCTCCAAATATCCAAGATTTTCATTCAGCATTTCTCAGAACCTTTTTTTTTTTTTTTTTTTCTCTAGTTTAGAGTAGATTTACAGGTAGTACTGTGGGGCAACCTTCAGTAGTTTGCGGCTTATTGTACTTTGGGGTGGTTGGGTTGTCTTTATGGAATAGTAGGACCCCTAAACTTTTCTTGGAATCCTGGGATAAAGGCTTTATATAAGAACATTATGAAAAGATGCTAATCTACCTCGCAGTATATAAGTCATGGTAGATTTTTGTTTTTTTACTCAAAAACGGCACAATTTAGTCATGGGAAAAAATTCCCTTGTAGAATTCCTAGAGACTTAGCTTGAATTGTTTGGTTGGCTATATGGAATTTGCATGTCCTAGGGATTGATTCCTATGTTTTGTTTGGTAAACTTGATTTATTTGCCATGTAATCTAACTAATTTTATCACATTCATTTTTTTTGTAATGAACTTGAGGCTTTGTTTGGTTCAATATTAGTAAAGGAAAGAAAGGGAAAGGAAGGGAAGGGAAGGGAAGGGAAAAGAAGGAAAATAAGGGAAAGGAAAAGAAACTATATCATCCAATGTTTGGTTTGATATTAGTAAAAGAAGAGAATTGAGAGGAATCTATTGTTTGGTATGACATTAGTAAAGGAAGGAAAGGGAAGGGAAAACTAATTTTAAGTTTAATAGATTTAATTTCTTTCTTTCTTCCTTCCCAAATTCCTCCAATTTTGGGAGGAAAGGAAAGGGAAGATTTTGTGAAGGGAGCTTTCCTTCCATTTCCTTTCAATTCCTATCAAATCCCATTTAATTTTAAAACCAAACATAGGAATCTATATTTTTCCTTTCCTTTCTTTTCTTTTCTTTTCCTCCCAATTCCTCCCAACCAAAAAGGGGCCTAAGAGGGAAATGAGATAAAGTAAGTCATTAAAGGGATTTTGTGACTTACCAAGGAGGCAAGGAGTGGGTTGGGTTAGTCGCTCCCCCCTTTTTAATTCCAACCAATGTACTAACAACACATCATAACTGCATTTTGAAAGAAATCTCAATTCCTTTGTGATTTCCCTCCAACCAAACAAGCACTAAGAATGAGAGGTATTTACGTTATATTTACATCATATTAGTGAGAGCATATTTTAATTCCATTTTGTTTTTCCATCTCTTCTTCTTACTTAGTTTTCTGGGTATTATCAGTCATTCCTGCAGAGTACTGCTGGTGGAATTGAGCCTCGATTGCAATTATTTGGTTTCTGGTAAGTTAAGCTGCAGGTTGCAACTTTTGTGCAGTTTAACATTGCCGCTTGCAGCTTATGGACGATGCTCTTCTGCTAACATTACTTATAAAGTAACCATCTTTGAGCAGTTCAAGGCCTCGAAAGCGCAAACGTCCAGAAGATCCTCATGAGAATGGGAAATATGTATATCCCCATGTGTTGGAATCAGCCTTGCCTGCACTGGCCACTGGGAGTAATGAGGGTACACATTCTTTTAGATT